TGCCGGGCTCCCGGCAGAGCCCCTGCCCCTCGTTTGTGTGCTGGGAGGGGGGGACAGGTTGTGTAGCTTCTCCCATCAGCAAAAACATTCCTGGCTTTATTAGCAGCTTTCAACTGGCAGCCAATGCTGATTTAATACTCGTGCTTTTTTGATGAATTGTTGCTTAGTCTGTTTTGAATACTTTCTGCATGACTAATTAATGTACCGAAATGAATGAAGTTGTGGTGTTAAACTTTGCGCTAGTATGTGCAGACAAACGGCTGGAAGTCACAGCTTTTCTTCAGAATTTTTATCTAATCTTTGCATTCTCAGGGACGGGGCTTTGCTTGTTATCTAAAAGCCACTTAACCGAGCTAAAATGTGATGTCATGCTTCTCTAAATACACGTAGGTATTTATGTTCCGTCTGTTGAGAAACAGACTTGAATATAGTGAGATATACGTAATTACGTTCTTTTAATGATAACAAAACCCACTTCAGATTGGCAAGAGATGAAAACCTGAAGCCTCATATATGGAGTTTTGCTTGAGTAAAGCGTTCTGTAACATTATGCTGGGCTAACCCGGCGTGATTCATCGCTGGAAAGACACTCCCAGCCGGAGCAGATAGAAATCAGTCGCTATTGACCCTTGTGAAGAGCCGCGTCAGCCCCTCAGAGCGGAAAAGCTGCTGGGAATAAGGTAACCCCACAGCCAGGAGAGTTTCTGTTTCAGATTTGAACAGTGCTGGCGAGGCGCTCGGTTTGCTCTGCGCTGCGGAGAGATGCCGTTCCTCTTCCCATTCCCCACGCTTTTGAATTTATGCTTTATTGTCTATAGATTTTCTTTTTTTGTTTGTATATTTTTTAATTTTTGCCCTGAAACAAAGACGGCTTGAGTAAGAGAGTAGAATAGCAACATAATTGTTTAATCTACCTCTCTCTCTGCCTGATATAATCCAGCATCTAATTTTTAACGAAGCATGAAAGCAAACTAGAGCTCAGCACCGTGCGTGCCCGGTGAAGATCCTAATCTCCCCTTGCCACCCGAGAAGAGCCTGGGCCGGGCACTTTGGCCCCATGCCCCGGGGGGGGGGACCCAGCCAGGGAGCTGGGGTGCGGTAGAACAGCACCCGCCCAGGGGCACCGGGGTCCCCAGGGTCCCCCTCCCGCCAGCTCTGCTGAGGGCGTGATGGAAACCCCCTGATCGACGAGCCAGAAAGTGCGTGCTGCAAAGGTACATCTCTTTCTTCTTAAAAAAAAAAAAAATCTTTCTAATCTTTTACTCTTTTCCAGGAAACAAAAAAAAAAAAAAAAAAAAAAAAAAAAGGCAATTTTTTTGGTCTAAAAGTCACCGCGGTTGACACGTGCTTAGCAAAACACCCCGTGTGCTGTGGGAGGGAGAAGCTAAACCTGATTGTTTTCAGTTCCTTCAACTACCCACCGGGTTAGTTAAGCTCAAGATCAGGATTAGTTATTCCGTGAGGGAGCAGACCCACAGCCTGGGGGGATCCGGTGAACACCTCCTGCCCACCCGCTTTGGGGTGGAGCCCCCCTCCTCACAAAAGACCCCCTTACCCTCGGTTTTGGTGGGTTTTTTTCCTTTTTTTTTATGTGGGGGGGGGAAGGAAGGAGAACTTCTTTTGGGTGGGGAGCGTGGCCAGGGGGGAACTGGGCTCATCTTGCAGCACCAACACCTAAAGGTGCCGGGGCAGAGATGCACGTCGGTTTGTTTGGGTTTATTTGTTGTTTTCTGGGGGGGGTTGGTTGGATTTGGTTTGGTTTAGCTTGGTGCTTTCTTTTGTTTTTTGTTTGTTTTGGTGGGTTTTTAAAAGTTTTTAAAATGTTAATTTTTTTTTTTTTTTTTAATTGTGTTCCTTGTTTGCTTTTGTTTTTTTGCTGTTCTTGTTTATTTGTTTGTTTGGTGGGTTGTTTGTTTGTTTGTTTTAATAAAACAGGGCAGTTTGCCTGGGTGCTTTTTGCCATGAAGGCAGGTGGGGTTGGGGGGAGGCGATGGGGCAGACAAGACTCGGTTCTAAGACTGGCTGCTCCCACCCCTCTCCCCAGAGGGCTCACTGGTATTTGGCAGGAGACCGTGGGTGTGATTTTTCTTATGAGAGCCAGCTTCTGAAAAAGGAGTTCTTTACAAATTGCTTTCTGAGTAAAAGCAAAGGAAAAAAAAAATCTGTATGTTGTGAAGCTGCAAAAGAACACCGCGTCACTGGCGCGAGCGAGCTTCCTGCTCTGTCTTGTTCTTTAAAAAAATATCACTATGTGGAATAATAAATTAATTTCTTAGGCAGAACTAGTTGTGTTTCCAATTGTAGCCAGCGCATGCGCTCTTTTCTGCTAAAATACACATTCTTTTTGGAGGGAAGCATCAACAGGTTCTTAATTATAATTACAACCTATAGCTAGTGTACTGGAAAACGCTGAATTACATCGCTCGCCAAGACAATAGGCAAGCTGTATAATTCTTTCATATGTCCACATGATTTCTTTTCTATTTTAGAAACTTTTACGTAGTAACGGATATTGACAGATATGAAAGCTTACCTAATTGTGAGACTACCTGCAGGAGTGTCCCTCGTGTTTAATATGGCACATTGTTGGGTGTGTACATGTTGATTTTTTAGCATCAGAAGTCCAGGCTGCGCAGAAGGGCTGCGGCTCACCTTTTTTTTGGCTGTATGAGCCTCATCATAAGGCACAGGGCTGATGGTTATCATGGATTGTGAACTTCCAACGGGCAGAAACTTGCACAATATATGTATTCTCTCTCAAATAAAAAAAAAAAAAATGTTGCCCCAGAGAGCTTGTTCTGTGGAAATTAATAGTAAATAATCAAGACCTCAGTGTGAAATGGGTGGAGAACCCCATGTGGCCATTGACATACTTTCAGAACAATATCTGTTGAATTTTTTTTTTCGCTTTTATTGCTGTGAAAACACCATTTGGCAGAGAAATAGGACGATCTCAATGCGTCCGAGCTGTGGGCTGCTGCTGGACGGTGGGGGGTCAGACCAGCTCCAGCTTCACGGCTGCGGAGCCGCGAGGATTTCAGACCTGGCTGCTTGGATTTCTGGCATGGGAACGTAACGATGCCATCCACTGCGTAGCAAGTGCTTCAGGAAGGATGGCTGAAATGAAAAATGCATCTATTTCTGCTTTAGTGAGCGGTGAGCTCGCAGGGTCCGGGCGTTGGTAGAGAGGAGGTGTCAGGACGAGGTTTTCTCCACCAGATCCGCGTTTGCTTTGCCGCGGAACAAAGTGAAAATAAGCCATTGGTGAGGCACTTCTGGGTGGGTGATCGTTGCAATAATAAATAGTGATTTAGCTCATTAGTCCTGCTCAGATAAAATGATTCCCAACACTCACCCGATTAGTTATGCAAACGCTGAGGACAGGCTTTTAATCAGGCTGGTCCTCGGGTCTAAACCTGCTGCCTCCCCTACAGCCCTGGGAGGTGCCAGCAGGGAGGGAATCCGACCCTTCCAGTTTCCACTAGATTTTTTAGGCCAGTGCTGACATAAAAACATTTGAAAAGTCATCCTGCTTGTATTACAGTAGAAGACTTGTTCGCTGTAAATCTAAAACTTTATTTATGCGTCAGTGATCTGCTCGTTTAATTATCTGGCATTCGCGTGTCTGATCTTCAGCCTGATTTCCTCCAACTCTATGGTGTAAAAGGTAAAGTATAAGTTACAATGTAGTTTGGAAATAGAATAAATTACTTTTTCAGTTTTTACTCATGAGTAGGACTGGGGTTTTCCAGTGGAAACCCAAGTCTGAATCCCTTGATTTGTGCAGACTTCCTACTACCGTTAGAATTGGCAAGTCTAGCAGTATAAGGAGTGCTAAAATAATTGCTGTACATCCTTCAAGATGTTATTTAGCCATGTATGAGCCTGACCGCAGTAAGCTGGAACCCCTCTCCTCTCCCTGGCCCCCCCCATTGCACGTAGTGTCTGTCACATTGATGTGATGGGATAGGCAGGACAACTCGCCCGGGTCAAGTGGTCGAACAGCCAAGCTTGGGCGGTCGGCAGCAGAGATTGAAGCATGGCTTGGTGGGGCTGATGGATTGGTTCAATAAAGCTCAGTAAGACACATTTAGTTAAAATTAACTCGTTTGCCTTGAAAACAAACTCTTACTTTAATCCTAGGATGGCTGACGTGGTCCCTGGGTAAAACATGGCGTATCTCAGTTGCTGATGGGTATCTTCTTTTGTAAGAAGATATTTACTGAGTGAGAGTAGCACAAAGTAGGTGGTAAGATAGAAATGCTGGTACTTTTTTGGCACTGTGAATAGTTTCTGACATTAGACAATACCTTCTTGTGATACATTTGGTGAGGAAGGAGGTGAATACAAATATATCCCATGTTTACTTCATCTTTTAAAAAAATCTTTTTGTATTCCATGATTTTTTGCAGGAGGAAGGGTTACTTTGGACGACAAGACTGCCTGCTTGTTGGAAAGCCTTCTTGCTCTTATAAAATGAAAAAATCTCCATGGTTTTCCTTGTTGTCAAGTATTACAATAGCTGTATTAGACCTTAGATGCCCATTTTTCCCCGGTGAATTTACTATCTTTGTTCTGTGGGTGAACTACTCAGAGAGGAGCGTAGTTCTTATCCCTCGGTCACCATATGTTCGCAGCAATAATCATCATTTTCCACAAGTGCCAGTGTTTGGTCTGTTGTGCATACACGGTCCTTTAGCATCTCTGATATAGTTTCTATAAAGCTGCTGTGGGGATTTCATGGTAGAGACATATGTATTTAGGCAGGACCATATATCATTAACTTCTTAAATAGTTTTGATGTTTGTATACCAAATAAAATCATGGTTTATCACTCGACACGTGATAAAAAAGGGAAAAATTCTCTACAAATGGCACTGCCATTTGTACTTTGCCCGGCTTTGTGCCTACGTGATCCCCAGTTCAGACCCTTCTTCCGCACCGCAGGGCGTGATTCGGTCTGAATCCACAATATTGCTATTTATTTGGCTCACAGCAGTGCCAAGGCAGGGCGTTAAGACTGGGTCTCTCTCAGAAGGGATCCTGCAGATGCACGCAGCGGGAGCTGCACCTCGTGCCAGGACTTTACTTTGCTGTGATACTCAGAAAATTCTTTGTGGAAACCTTGACATTAAATATTGGGATGTACTGAGGATGAGGACATAAAATACCCCGCGTGCTCCTCCATCAACGTGTATTTCAGAGTAAGCTGTTGCGGGGGCTCGCCTTGCCTGGCTTTATATAAACAGCTAAATATGCTGTATAAACTGCTAAGTATGGGACGAAGGGATGGGAGGAATAGAGTAAATTATAATTCAAAGTTTTATTGTGTCCTTTTTTCCTTTTATGTGTCCATATAGTACATAAAATTCCTTGTGTATACTATTTAAATTCTGAGAGTTTTATCTGACCTTTCATTCTCTTCCTATACAACTGCCTTTCCTCTAATAGAATTACATAAATTACTGTCATCAAATTCTGCCTGCAATTACTTTGTATCAGTCAACTTACTGGTTTTGTGTGTATCTGCTCTCATCTCATTAGCTGTTGTACAGACGAATTATGACTTGTAGGTAGTTGACTGACGAGCTGTCGCATGATGCCTTTGTATACTGAAGGTATTTGGCTGGCAAAACGTTAATGTAAACATTTCAGCATTAAGCAGGTTACAAAATTACCGGGGTTTATATTGACAAGGGTGTTTCCATATTAAGGGATATGCAGTGCAGAAGAAGAAAAGTATGTAAACAGGTTAACTAGACCAAATTATTGGGGTTTAGAAATTGGTTTATAGTGTAGTGAATGAAATTATTCTGGAAAACTGGAAGTCACACAAACGATCTTTTCGTGGTACTCTATATTCAGAAACGCTGAAGGCTGCATACTCATGACCTTCCCTAATTTTGACCTTATTAGATATGGCTATTAAGTGCCCAAGGGCAATTAAAAAAAATCCTCAGAGAAATAGCTTTTCAAGGGAACTTACATGAACTGCTGCTTAGTGTTTGATTTTAATTTTTTTTAATTCCTCCCCCCCCTCCAATAGTTGGAAATTGCTAACTCTAGTCCCTGTTCCCTTTCACTGTTATCATTTCTTTATTCATGCAGAGATTTTTAGACAAAATAACTTTGCAGTGCAAGTCCACGCTATTTTCCAGCTCTCGTCCTGAAGCGCAGTTGGGGTGATTGCAGCTTGTTGTCTTTTTATGCCACGATATTCACATTACTGTTACAGAGATCAATGGGTTTTTTGTCTGGGTGGTGGAGGGAGGGGCCTGACAAGCTCATTTCTGGAGTTTAATCAGCCATAGGATGGATTTTTTTTTTTTTTTTTTAAGTAAACAGTATGTGCCTACAGTTGTGCTGTGGAAGATATGGTAAAGGTATGCAATAATGGTTTAAGTCACCAGAAAATAAAGTTGGTATGAAGGGTGAGGACAATCAGACCAAAATATTCGTCACTTAAACCACTGGATTTCTGTTTGTCAGCTCCAAGCTTTCTTGTGCAGATTTTAATTTGTTTGTTGTTTCATATTGATGTGCATGATTTTTGATGTTAACGGAGTAGATTCAGTTAGGTTACTTTTCAGATGTTCGTTTTAAATAATTGAATAAAACCTAATTTGGGCAACTGTGTGCATAACCGTTTTCCTAAAATAACGCTGATGTGAGTGGAAACAATAACTCTTGTTTCCAGAATAATGGAAGTCCTTGATTAAATTTTAGCATCTGAACATGCCGTTCTGTGCATCTGTTGCTCGAGTCATACGGTCTCGTGGGCTTCCATCCACCAAAATCCCAAGGAGCAGCAGTTGAATTTCAGCATCCCAAATAAACTTAAACCTTTTCACCTGATTCTCTCCTTTCCCATGAGCGCATGCGCTTAATTTGAACACAATAAGCAGAAACTGTATCTGATCGGGTGGCCACTGATATGTTGTGAGATGTTTAACTCTGTTTCTTACATGTTCTCAGAGGCAAAACGTGTGTTTGATTTGGAAAGGCTTCCCTAAATTACAGCAATGCTCACTTGGTTTGAGTGGGTCGGTAGAGCGTTTTTAGGATAATTAGTTTGATAGTTCTGATGCGCACGTGCGGTTTATTTAGACTTAATTCATAGATGTTGTATAAATACCCATCTCCTATTTCCTTGAGTGTCGCCACATAAGGTTTATGGCACTTCTGTAGATCGAAATACATGAAATAAAATAGACTATTTGAATTTTCATAAATAAGGAAAGCCTTCAGATAAAGATGAGCACCAGTGTATTTTCATGACCAATTTGGCTAATACTGTTATTGTGGTATTGTGTATGTTTAAATATTTAATGGAGTCTAAGTTATTTTTACATATTTTTACTACATCTATTGAACATTTTGTTTTTGTGGATGCTAATAATCACAAGCATTCTCAGACTTTTCTGGCCTTAAATATTTAGCCAAGGGAGTTTGTTTTCCTGGGGTTCTTGTGTTAATATAACAAGAGCCTAAAGCTGAACCAGTACAGGGCTGGATTTTGTAGAAATCCCTACTGGTTTTAGAGCGCTCTTTCCAGACAAACATTTGGGGCTAAACTGCCGGGGAAGCAGATGCCCAGTCTGCAGATATTAAGAGTTAATATCTCTTGAGATGTGTTCATTCTCTTAAGGAGCTTCCAGCCGTCAGCGAGATCAGAGGGGCTGGCGAGGGTGGTGGCCGGCGCTGGAGGAGCGGGTGAGCGTCGGGTAGGGGCACGTCTTTCCGAGCCAACTGGAAATGGTGAACTTGAGCCCTGTGTGTTGGGATAACGGCCCTGACTTTGGGTAGGTTTACACAGCTTCCAAACAAGTTCATTTGGTGGGTAATAATTGGGGTGCTTCAGAGCACCCAAGGGAGTTAACAACAAGAAGTAGTTTGGGCGGAGAGAAAACTTTATTGATTGCCCCCAGCCCGAGAAAAGATTCGGTGTCCTTGTCCTCCTCATCTTACCTTCTGTCCCTGATGAATGATAAATGTGTGTTCACGCTTATATATGTGTATGCATGCTTTTATATCTGTGTGTGTGTGTTTATATATAGGTATAAAAAATATGCATATTTCTTAGTTGGTCCTCAAGGATTGGAAAGACTTTAAAGTTGTTTTATCAGCATCAGGCAAGCTGCTATGTAAGTATGAAAGTTTCATTGCTATTAAGCTGTTTTCAACAAGTGTTTAGCTTGTATATACCAAAATGTACACTGCTTTAACATATAGTAGACTACAGAGGGGATTTTATGGTTTTATAGTGGTTTTAAAATTAATATAATAATTTTCTTACTTTTTCCTAGATAAAAGAGGTTTTAAACAGCTTCTACCTCAGTATACCTTGGTTCTAGGTTTGATATTCAAGCGGCAAAAAGCAAAAGACTTTCTCATTGGTTTTTGTTCTCATGAGTGTTTTTCTGTGGTACTTCTTTCTTGAGCAAATTTCAGTGGAGGCAGCCAAGAGCATTGTTGAACCAACAAATATTTACCTGCTTAACAAGGGTAGAATTTTATATACACTGAAATAATTTACCTGGGAATAAAATTTGGTGTTATTTGGCTTGGTGTTCAGACGACAAACCTGTGGCGTTCTGGAGCTGATGAAATAAAAATCTCTGAGTATGACCCAGTTTGACAGCAAACTAGCCAGAAATGTGCCTTGCTCCAGGTACACCAAGCGCCCCATGTCTGATGAACCCTGCTTTCTTATGGCTTTGTGACTTATGCTGGTTTGTGTTTTGTAATTAATTTTCTTTCCATGATTGGGGCACCAAAGAGTTTTCTCTCAGTTGGGTTTGCTTTGTTTTGGGAGGAGGGGGTTGGTGGTTTTGGGGGTTGTGGGTTTTTTTGTGTCTAATGAGGTAACTAAAGCAAGCTGCAGTGTTTCCGTAACGGAGGCACTTGGAGGATATTTCCATGTTTCCAGTGTGTGCTGACTGATTTCCCAGCCTCTACCTTCTCGTCCAGCCTGTCCGAATGCCACCGATGAGTCTGAGCATTGCTTTGGATGGGGGAGGGAGTGGAAAGGCACGTGATGACACACACTCCTGTACAACGGCAAAATCTTCCTTTCCCTAAGAAATCATGCTGAAGACATGATCAAGAGAAGAAGGATGAAAAAGAGAGAAAGAAGCAATAATGTAGGCTGCATCAGATTGCTTTTTTTGCCCATCTTCAGTGAAAGGGTACAGAAGGGGTAGGGTAACCATTGGGTGACTCAATAAGTGCACTAACTGGTGGTGGGATTTGAGGTGGGAAATCCTCACACATGGAACTGCGTGTTGTTTCCCTCACCTTGAGAGTCTGATGTCATTAAAACTTTTTAGCACTTCTAATAATAGAAAAAATACTTATTTCCTAGCTGGCTCTTAAATGCCTTTTAGTGGATTAGTTTGAATCACATCAACTAAGAACTTGATCATCTGCCAGCCGCTAGAGTTGGCCCAAAGCTTTGTAAATTAATGAGCTCAAGGTGATTAGTACAGGTCTTGGTGCTTTGGACCATACACCAAATTGTTGCCATGCAAGGTGCATAGCACTGTATGCCTGTCACTTTTTGCCCGTTTTAATTCATATGCGGTGAGTGTTTGTTGGCTTGGCAGTCAAAATAAACATGAAGAGCTCTGTCCGTGATGCCAGTGAATGAAAATTATATTGAGGTTCCAAAAAATAGGATCAACGTTACAATGACTGCTTTGTTGTAGAGACACTTACTGCTCTGATAATTCTGATTCTGATTCAAGACCGTTGTACGTTTAGTGGGTTTTATCTGGTCTCCATTCACAAGACGTGTTTTGGGAAGAAGTTTTAAAGTCTTGCAGCAGCACTTCTGTGTTGCTTTTGTGAATGGAAAAATGTCTTTGTACAAATGTGTTGGTACATCTGTTGTATAGAGCAGTGGAAGCTACACAGAGCTGCTATGGCCACCAGCGCATCTTACCGATTATCTGTTGACTGTTAGTGAGTCAAGGAGAACCGAGCTGTTGCTTCCACCCAACAGGGCAAGTTCTGGTGATGTCTTTAGTACACACATTATCTGTAGAATTTTTTAAAAGTACAGTAACTCTCAGTAAAATGTAGCTTTCTTTGTAGGCAGGAAAGACTCGTGCATTTCATAAACTCTCAGACGTCTTCGGATGATGGAAGAATGATGTGTGCTGGGTATCCAAATTCTCTCCAGCGTTTGTGGTCCGATGACAGT